GCCTTGCTGGCCTCAAGGAGATTAAGNAGGGTGTTGTGGAGGCGCGTGCGGCGATCGAGGAGGCCCATAATGAGGCCTCCCGGTCGCTTCACGCGCTTCACGAAAGCATGGAAACGTTGGTGCGTGCCATCGCCGACGTCTCCATGCCGAGGCCGGAAGGAGCTACATGCTCCACTCCAGTCAGGGGGGGAGTCAGATTCCTCCCTCGTGGCTGGAGGAGATTGAGAGAGTAGTGCGGTGCACCGTCTCGGAGGAGCTCCAAAAACTTTTGGAGCGGGAGCTCCCGAGACGGCTTCCCTCTGTTAGTAGGACTCCTATTTTACCGCCTGTTCCTGTTAGGGCACAGGCGGAGGAAAAGGAGAANAAGAAGAAGAAAAAGAGAAAGAAGACGAAGGAGAAAAAAAAGGAGAAGGCGGTAAGGGGAACCAAGGCGCATACGAAGGGTAAGGGGACGACCGCTGGTGCCGGTCGAGGAGAGCCTTCTCCTCCTTTGACCCCGCCCTTGTCAAGCCAGCGGCCGCCTCGCGGGGTACTCCCGCGTACTGAAGCGGTCACCTTGCGTCTCGAGGGGGAGGGTATGTCGTATGCCCAAGTCCTTCGAGACGAGAGGAATAAGGTGGACCCTAGGTCGGCGGGCGTCTCCAGAATCCGTCGGACCCTGGAGGGGCATTTGTTGTTGGAGGTGGAAGGGGAGGACCGCAAATCCAAGGCGGACCTCCTCGCCACCAAGTTAAAAGAGGCTCTCCCTGAAGGAGTCAGTGTAGCTCGTCNGTCCCGAAACGTGGAGATACTAGTTTCGGGATTGGACGAGTTCACCACGGAGGACGACCTCCGCAAAGAGTTTGCGACAGAGTTTGGTGGCGGGAGTGGCGTTAGGGTAGTATCCCTGCGTCGCTCCCAGTCCGTGGGTGGAGTCGCCTTGGTCCGCTGCCCAGTTGAGGTAGCGGCCAAAACGATTAAAGCAGGAAAATTGCCGGTGGGCTGGGTGATAGTGAGGGTGCGAGCACTCCGCCCCCGCTCCCTGCAGAGTTACAAGTGTTTCCAGCCTGGGCACTGCAGGGCTGTGTACCCCAGCGAGGTCGACCGCAGTGATCTTTGCTATCGCTGTGGTCGGCCGGGGCACAGAGCGGCCGGCTGTACAGAGGATGAGGGGTGTCCCCTCTGTGAGAAGTCGGGCCGGGAGTCCTCTCACTGAATGGGCGGAGCCCGGTGCTCGGCCATCGGCTCCCGTGCCCGTTAACAAACCCTGACGAGGGTAAGGAGGATGCGGTTCTCCCTGGCTCCGATATAAAGATCCGGGAAGCCGCTCCTCCGTATATCTGGTGCGTTAAGCACCAGATATAATAGAGGGTAGCGCCTGGTCTCTTTTTTTGAGTCCAGGCGGTGTTAGATGGAGGACCGGTCCCCGTTCTTTTGAGCTCTGGGCTCAACTCAGCGGTTACTGGGCGTAGTGTGGAGGGAGGACCTCCTTTTTGTCTCGCGTTTTGAGACACTAGAGAGGTCAAAATTACTATCATGGGGTCAAGTCCGCTTCGGCGTTTGACTTGAGGCCAAGAGGGGTTTCCCCCTCATTGCACTCGGCCTGCAGACGGCAAGGGAGGGGCTGTGTCTCCCCTTCCCCCAATCGTGGAGGAGCTTTGCTCCTCCATTTGAAGGTGTAAGGGGGCGAAAGTCCCCATGCCTATATTTCGGGCTGTTTCTGGATTGTTCTAAATCGAGGTACCGGGGCAGCCCAAAAAAGGCGGAAGGTGGACACTGCAGGGGTTTTAGTGGGTATTCCCCATCGGGGTGCGCATTGGTGGGGTGAGTCCCACACTACCCTGGCCCACACTTAGTCTGGGTCAGAGTGTGCATAAATGCATTTCCCCTGCGTAAATAAAAAAAAAAAAAAAAAGGTTAGGTTCCCTGGCGATTTCCCACCACCTTGTTGTGGTGCCCGGGCTTGGGAGCGGTGAAGTGAAGGGGCCATGCCGGCGTAGACTCTTTTGAGTCCTTGGTAGGGTCACCCATGCTCGGAAGGGCCACTCACCGAGCTCCCGTACTAAGAGTGGGAATAGAGGAAGGAAAACCTTGAACAAAAACCCGGAGTTCTCAGCTCCGTTAGCCCCCAAAAACGGGGACAACTGAGATAGGGGAGTAAACCCTGACTTCAAATCCGGGCAGGNCGGGCTCGTTAGCCGCTGTGAAAGCAATCGTTCTAGGACAGGTTATAAGTCCAAAATAAAACCACCTCTCTTGATCATAATGGCAAGCCAAGAGAACAGCAAAGACTTACCGGCCCAGGGTAATCGGACACCCAGGGCCCGGCGAGAGAGGGGTATGGTCCCTGCTTCTGTCCCGTCGTCATCAGACGCAGAGCTACCCGATGGGTGCACCGCAGGCCCATCGGGAGAAACAGTGCCTGCAAGAACCGGTGCCATGGCTATACCAGGACATCGGTTGAGGGGTAGGGCGAGAGACTCCTCGTCTGACTCTATGGAGTCGTTCTTAAGAACTCCCTTACCTACCAGTGAGGATGAGGATGATGTGCCTCTTTCCCCGGCGCCCTCCCTGGAGGGCAAAGANGCGGAGGCATATGTGGAGAGGCGTGGACGTCCGCCGACTCATTGTCTTTTTGTGGACCTTGGGAAGGTGAGAGAAAAGCTGCGTGCTTTGCGACACGCAGAAAGAAAGCGCCAGCAGGCGGAGACCGGGTGGCCGCCTGTTGGCGAAACGGACACAGGCTCGGAGATGTCCGGTCGTCCCTCGGACACGGAGTCCATCCGGAGATTAAGGAGGACGTATCTGCGAGATACACCTCCTAATCTGGAGGACGAGCTAGCGTTGCTTGATGCAAGGAGCATNGCTGGCCGGGTTTGGGCGGAATTGGAGGTGGTGGACAAAGTGGCCACCACCTCCAAAAACCTTAAAGGCACTGCCGTTAAGGCCCTCCGCGAAGCAACAAGGAACTCCAGGTTTATCCTGGAGTTCTTGGATGGAAGAATGAGGGCAGACCCGAACACCCTCATCGTTCCGACTCCGTCTCGGACTCATTCCGAGAACGCGGAGTTGAGGGCCGAGGTGACGAGACTGCAAGGGAAGGTGGAGGCATTGCAGGCTAAAGTCCGCATGCCTCCGCCATTGCCCCCGGGTCCTGCTAAAGGACAGAAAGAGGTCGGTGAGGGCGATCTTCTTAAGAAGATCGAGGCTCTCATCGACCGAAAGCTGGAGGCCCTCCTGCCAGAGAGGCCTCAGAGTCGCTGCGAGGGAGTAAAGGCCGCTAAGCCCGCTCCCTCAAAGAGCGGGAAGAGCGGCAAGGGGAGAGGGGTGGCACCACTTTCGGCTAAGGCCGGGGGTTCCCGCTTCTCTTCTGCTGCGGGAAGACAACCTATCGACCCGTCTCCGAGCAGTAGCAAAGAGACGTGGTCAAAGATTGTAGGTAGGAAGAGCAAGCGGGCGGCCAAGGCACCAGCCAAAGCCGCAGCGCGTTCTTCCTCTAAGGCCCCAGATTCTGGGGCAAGAGCAGGGCAAGTTACCACGAGGGAAGGAGTGAGTGCTCGCCCTCCTCCTCTCTCAAAAGAAAAGAAGAAGGCGAAGGTGAGGTGTCCTCGCCTTCGAGTCCCGACGACGGCAGCGGTTACGCTGACCTTAGGAGGCCTTCCTAAGCAGGTAAAGGACTCCGCAACGTCCCCTNCTGACCTGCCGTTGTTTGCTGGTGCTTCGCTTCCGGCGGGTAGTAGACCTGCCGCCATCCAGCACGGAGTGTGTGAGGAGAGAGCTCGGCAGCGTATACCTCCGCAACGGGAACGTGGGTCCTTCCCTGCCACTGGAATTCTGCGCCGTGCAGTGGAAAGAGAAAGAGAGAGAAAGAGAATGAGAGAGCCTCCAAGGCTGCAGGAAAGGGAGTCATTGAGAAGGCTTCTCTCCGAAGATGCAAGAAGGTCTGACGTCAATACGGCCAGCGAATCGGATTGGACGGTAGCTGGTCCTCGCCGTCGACGACGTAGGACACGTAGCACTAGGATGGAAAGTGCAGTCCGAAATACTTCCACAAATCAGCGGCAATCTCAGAGGCGAAACAGTACCAAACTGGGACAGCGACTCCTTCGTGTTAGACCACCCCGCTCTGTGGCGGTAGCGATACGAGTCCAGGATGGGAAGACGTCTTACGCGGACATTATAAAAAAAGCTCGACGCGAGGTAGATTTGGATAGCCTAAAGCTTGGTGATACCCGCCTTAGAAAAGATGTAGCAGGCGGTTTACTTATCCAAATCCCTGGTAGGGATAGTAAAGATAAGGCGCGCCAACTACAGGCTAAACTCCAGGAGGCTATGGGAGACGAGGCTCGTATTACTATNNCTTCCAAAAGAGCAGAGGTCCGAATCATCGGTTTTGACGACTCAGTAGCGGAGAACGAGATCTTGGAGAAAGCTGCATCCGTGGGTAGTTGTTCTAAGAGCGACATCCGACTTGGACAAGTGAGACCCTTGTTTAGCGGGCTTTTCGGGGTTTGGCTGCAATGCCCCATTGATGCGGTGCAGAAGCTTGCAAAGGCTGGTAGGATTAGGCTCGGCTGGACATCTGCCCGAGTTATTCTACTGCCCCCTAGAAGGCTGCAGTGCTTCCGGTGTTTAGAGTTCGGACATGTGAAGGCAACATGCCCGAGCTCGGAAGACAGGAGCACACTGTGTTACAGGTGTAGAGAAGAGGGGCATAAGGCGAGTTCCTGCTCCAACAGGATTCGATGTCCGGTCTGTGCGTCAAGAGGACAAACTTTGACTCATAGAGTGGGCTCGGAAGGATGCTCGGCTAGGAGAGTCATGGGTGTTCAGGATGGACGGAGAATTTCGCGCGGCCCCAGTNCGGAAAAAAGTCCTCCTAAGGAAGTTCGGAACAACATGGTGGTTGACACTATTGAGGATGCTGGGCANGAGGGTCCCATGAACACAGAGCCATGCGCATAGTGCAGCTGAATGTGAACCACTCCTGGGGCGCGCAAAATATGCTGCTTCAATGGATGATGGAGACGGGTTCGTCCATCGCGTGCATTGCGGAGCCGCATTCCGTTCCGAAGACGCCGTTATGGTTCAGCGACCTTAACAACTGTGCGGCAATTTATTGGTCCCCACAAAACTGCCCTCTGGAAGTGATTTCGGTGGAAAGTGGTGAGAATTACGTGGCTGCACGTATTGGTGCACTTTATGTGTATAGCGTGTATTTCCCACCTAATGAGCTTAGGGCCGATCTAGATCAGCGTCTCGACCAAATAGCTGACGGCATACGGGGCATAAGTCTTTCCCCAGTTGTGATTGCGGGAGACTTTAACGCCGCGTCGGTTAGTTGGGGATCTGCTTATACAAATGCTCGTGGTGATAGCGTAGAGGACTGGGCGTCGTCCTTAGATCTTGTCCTTCTCAACCGGGGTACAGCGCCGACGTGCATTAGACCACAGGGGACATCNATCGTTGATTTGACATGGAGTAGTTCTGAAACTGCCCATAAAATTGCAGAATGGCAGGTTGTTGCGGATGCTGAAACTCTTTCGGACCATGCCTTGATTCAGTTTGTTGTCAAGACAAAACACTCTAAAGCACCTCCCTCTGAAGGAATACCCAAAGAGTTGTTCCCAAGATGGTCAACCAAAAACCTTGACCAGNATCTTCTGTCGGCATCTCTTATCCTAAAAGATTGGCTTTGCTCGCAACCACCTAACTGTGAGGCTGATGTTGCGGCTAATAGTCTGACCGATCTTCTTACCGAGGCTTGTGACGTTGCGGCTCCGCGATGTAAAAGACAATCCACTAGGAGACAAATGTACTGGTAAAATAATGAACTTGCTGAGCTGCGCCGTGAATGTACCTCTCTTCGACGCAAGATGGTCAAGTTTAGGCGTCGACAAAACATTACTGACGCAGAAATCTCCAGGGTGTCCTTACGGAAAGCNCAGCGTCATTTGAGGACAGCCATTACAAAAGCCAAGTCGGCGGCTTGGAAGGAATTGATGGCTACGTTGGAGCGGGACCCCTGGGGGAGACCATACCAGGTGGTTGTGCAACAAGTCAAGCCGCGGTCATTGGCTGTAACGGAAAAGATGGAGATCCGTACTATTACCAGAGTGGTTGAGGGGCTGTTCCCAAAATACATTGGCGCTGAAGCGCCCTGCACTCTTCTCGGTCCGAATCTAGTGGATGTTGATCCTATTACTATGGATGAAATAAAAGCAGCGATTAAAGACAGTAAAAAACCTAATTCGGCGCCGGGTCCGGATGGTATTACGGTCAGAGTCTTGCTGGTCTTGCTGTCTGTGGCCCCTAACAGGCTGCAGGACTGTTTGAATGCGTGCCTTCTGCAGGGCTGTTTCCCGTGGCATTGGAAGAGGGCGCGGTTAGTTCTGGTGCCCAAGGTGGGTAAACCTCATGGCCTCCNGTCGTCATATCGTCCGCTGTGTCTGCTGAATGAGATTGGCAAGTTTTATGAGAGAATCCTTGCACGGAGGATGTTGGCTCAAGTTGATGCAAGTGGTGGTTTCTCTTCCCGTCAGTTTGGGTTTTGTCGGGGAAAATCAACTTGCGATGCAGTGGCGGCTCTGGAGGAGATTGTGTCCCGATCGTTGTCGAGGAGAGGAGTCTGTGTTGCGGTCTCTCTTGACATCCGTAATGCCTTTAACTCTCTTCCGTGGCCTGTAATTCGAGACGCTTTGGTCTGGTGGCGTATGCCCCAATATATACGGCTAATTATTGCGGACTATCTTAGGC